TTTCTGTAGCAGAGTGGGGTAACTCTGGTTGGTAATTAATTGTATATTTAAAATACAGTGAGGAGAAAGGATTTTGAATGTTTCTAACACAAAGAAATAAGTATCTGAAGTGTTGGATGTGTCAATTACCCTAATCTGATCATTAAACATTGTATACAAGTATTGAAATGTCATATTCTACCCCAGAAGTATATACAATTACCATGTATGAATTTAAAATAAATATTTTAAAAGTATAAATATTTAAGATGGTAGATATATCAATTACCCAGATATGATCATTATGTATTATATGCATGTATCGAAATATCACTCTATACCCTTTAATTATGTATTATTATGTGCTGATTAAAAATAATTTTAAGAATAATGTGTGAGAAATAGCACTCAAATTTATTAGAGGGGTTCTAATTATCCCTCATGTCTCGGGCTAGGACTCATAGCTGGAAGACTGCTCACAAGACGGAATTAGAGATCCTGACCCCCATTTACCCTAAAAAAAGAAAATTCCCCTAGTGCTGCAGTCTGGCTGGGCACAATTCAGGAGCCACTTGTCAAAAGAAATGAACTTTATTTTTAGAACCACACACGCAAAACAAAACAGCTCCTCAGGAAAACCCCTCAGAGCCCAACTGCCAACACCAGCTTCCCACAAGCCTCTCAACCTCCCCCACTCCTCTTGCTCTTGAGGCCCATTGGCTGGGTTGCATGGGCGGAGCCAAAAAAGTCCCCCAATGAGCAGCTCCGTGGTCTGAAAGGGCAGGGAAACAGCCCAGTGAGCATCACCACAGAGGAGCCAATCAGCTAGAAGTTGCTGGGGCTGCTGTGAGCCAATCATCAGCTGGCAGTCTGAAAGTTTGCTGGGATCCCTTCCGCTGTGGCTCTCAACACCCTAGGGTTCAAAAAAAAAAAAAAATTCCTAGGGTTGAAGATTTGCTTAATGGTTTGCCAGGCTTCTTTGTTTGTTTGAGGTGGCCCAATGACACTGACTTTTTAGAAGAGATGAGAAACAGACTGATATTATAGATAGCACTTATTGTACGTCTGTTATGTCCCAGAACTGTCCAGAGCAGGTTTAAAGCCAGCCTCAGCAACTTACTGAGTACCTGAGTAACTTAGTGAGACCTTGTCTCAAAAATAAAAAGGGCTGAGGATAAACTAATTCAACAATCCATCCTTCCTTCCTTCCTCCCTCCCTTCCTTCCTTCCGTTGTTTTTTGTACCAGGGATTGAACTCAGGTGTGCTTAACGGCTGGGCCACATCCCCAGCCCAGAGCTAATGTACTAATTGTCTTAATCCTCACAGTAACTCAATGAGATATGCTCTTTTAGTATACCTATGTTCTATCTAAATGCTGAAACAGACATAAAGAGCCTGAGCAACTTATTTAAGGTCACATACCTACTCAAATCTAGGAGGCTTGGTTTCAGAAGCCATTTGGAATATCTAAGGAAGCAGAAGAGAATGTAAAATCTAACCCAGCTCAGTCTTAGATCTTTTTTCACATGAAAAGAACAACTCCATCAAGCTGAGTCCTCAAATCCAGGATTATTGAGGTTTGCATTTAGCTAGGCCTACAGGAAGTTAACCCTCTTCACCAAACAAGCCAGATAGTGTGTTCTGCTGCAGACCGCAAGGTAGGATTCCTAGGCAAAAGTACAGCAATTGCTCCTGATAATTCTCAGAATATGTGTAGTTTAAGGCACAGATTTCTGGGGCAGCACACAATTATTTTCTTATCTTTGATGACACAAGAGGGATTGGGGACAGAAAGAAGAGATTTGGGAGGATCTGACACAGAATTCCAAGAGCCTCAGCACTGTTAGATAGTTCATTCAATCATTCTGCAAATATCTGTTGAGCTCCTGCTACATGCCAGGCATCACCTCCTTTTCTTGGTGTGTGACTCTGTGAAGACACCCATTATCAGGTTCCTAGGAATTCAGTACCTCTGTGGGCTCAGGAACTTTCATAGCAGTTCATCCACCTTTCTTTCCTGGCAACTAGCAGCCTAGACTGGAGGGGCCCCCAATGTACACGGGGCTGTCTTTGTTCAATAACGCTTGGAAGCACAAGTGAGCTCTGTATTACCGCCCTTTTCCACAGGGGTGGCTGGAGGGCCTAGAAGCTACTAGTTCCAGCCCTGCAGAGCCACGGGGACATACCCAAAGCACCAGCCATGAGCTTTGTTCCTCAAGCCCCTGGAGAAAACCTTTGATTTCATGGGGATGATTATTTTTATTCTTGCCCACTCAAGGATGAAGCCCAAGGAACAAGAGCTTGCCCCTTTCAGAGGCATCACAATGGCTTACCTCCAGCCAAACCCACTGGTTTTTGTTTTTTGTTATTTCTGGGTTTGGTTGGGCCTCTCTTGGAAACCATTACTATACAACTTACTTAAAGAAAGAGTGGAGGGATTGGGCATAAGAGACTCAGACAGAGGGGGAAGGCTGGTGGGGGTCTGAAACAGAGAGGCTGAAAGTAGTGTTTTGAGAAAATGCAGAAAGAACACATTAAAGTCACAATGTGATTTGAATCAATTCCATTTTGTAGTGACATTTTTAATCTTTTGCAAAGTCAAACTATCCCAAGTTTGACTTTTGGCCAAGACTAGAGAATTGTGTCTTGGGACTTCGAAGGAAGGTTTCTGAAAAACACAAAACACACACACACACACACACACACACACATACACACACACACACACACACACGAAAGAGAGAAAGGGGAGGGAGACTTTTATCCTAAAGTCATTGTAAATCCAAAGCAGGGTTTTATCCTCCACAGTTAAATGAGAAAGAAAAAAAAATCAAGAATACCAACATTTGAGGTACAAAGACTGTCATGGACCAGTGGAAGTTTGCAAAATTATATGTAAATGACCAAAGTTTTTACTGTGGTGGCCCTGTGCATTCCCAAAGCTAATCCCAAAGAGAAAATCTACTTAGCAAAAGAAAGTTTTGTCTAATTTGGTTAACAGTTGAGAAGTGACAAAAATGCTGAATATATTAATAATTTATATTTCCAGGGTAACACTATATCTTTAATGCTTCACTGCCAAAGGGAATTCAGATTGGCTTAATGCTTAGAGGGGGAAAAAAAAAACCTGAAAGACCTTCTTCATATTCTGTATCCAGCCCTGATGAAAATGGGTGTAAGACATGTGTTCGAATAATGGGCACCATCCATTCTCCCATTTGTGCATAATTTGTTTTTATCCCATGTTGCCCCATGTATATTCGTTATCCAGGAAGCCCACTGATCTCACTTCTCTAGGCTCCAGCTCTATCAGTTCATAAGGAAAGTGGTAACTCACATTTCATAGATATTTCAAGAATCCTTTACAAGAAGATGCTTTTTTGATATTATTAGATTTCCCCCCCCTTAAAACATATATACAATAAGTTTCATTTTATGGACAATGAAATGAAGGTGTTTTTTTTTTTCTTCCTATCTATATAATGAAGTTTGATGGTTTACAAATTGCAGGTCATCCCACTCCATGACCTCTGTAAACAGGCCAGGTCAGAGCTCTCTTAAACCCTGTCCAGAGAAAGGAAATAAGTTAATTTACAGTCCTGGATAATCTGGGAGAAGGCAAATCACTTCACTAACTTTCCGTTAAATGCCTCTGGACACAGAGGAAAAAGATACTTCACAGTTTCAAATTATTTATTTAAAGGACATCAAAGGTTTGGGGCGGACCCTTAGATTTGAGAAACAAAAGAAGTTCAGAGGGAAAAAAACACAATGCTGGAAAACATTTAAATCTCCACAAACAATTTGAGTTGGTTGGAAACTTTCTTTATTTTCCTATTTACACAAAACAAGTTGGAGGCCTACTTTGCTGCTTGGGCCTTAGAAAAAATATGATTTTAGCCTGCTATTTTAAATATACCACTATTTTGTGAGAAGGGCACAAATCCACTGGAATTGAACACCACAATACCCTGAAGGATCACCAGCCAAGTCTTACCTATACCTCAGACTTTCCTCATCACATCTGGTTGAAATGAGATTTTTAAAAAAGAAAAAAAAGTCTCTCCTGGAAAATGCTGAAGAGCCTTTCTCTGCAGGCTACAAGACTTGAACAGAAAACCCAGCGTCTGGACCCCGGGCCATTGGCCTGATGGTGAGTATTTTCTAGCTCAACAATTCCCTGAGAAAGAGCATCTTCCAGCCAGGCCTGTGCGGGCCTCTCAGTTGCCTACTGCCTCTGCGCAGAAGGCAATACCAGCTTCCCTGAGCCCTCTGGCTCCCAGTAGCTGTCAAGCAAACTTCAACGCATAACTCAGAACGTTACTTGCTACGCACACAACCCACTTTAAAATTTTTTATAGTTATTATTATTGTTATTTTATTTATAGAGACGTGCTAAGGCTGTGAACTCTGCTATGGGCCCAGAAGTTCCAGGTTTCCTCCCTTTGCAGATCCCGGACCTGTGCACGCGTTGGGAGATTCTCCTAGAGGTAGGAGGGGGGCCCCAGATCCCAGCTGGTGAGAAAGTTTGTCAACGCGAGTTTGGGGCGGACCCCTAGATTTGAATATTCTGCGACCCAGAGACCCAGTACTTCGCCTCTGTCCTTCTTCCCTTATCTGAGACGAATGCCTAAGATGCATGCAAGGTGGATGAGGTTTGGAGCACCTGGAGAGCTGAGAATCCCACGCCCAAGAGATGCTTCTAAGAAATGCGTAGGGCTTCATTTAGACTCCTTTTCTTTTAGACTCCGCAGCGGGATTCTTTCCCATATAAATTACTGAGGGCCATTACCTTGGCCCCTATTGGCATCGCTCCCTTGGCATGTCAGAGGGAATGGTTGTGGATGAGCAACAGCATGTAACAAAGAAATCCATCTCTTTGGGTCTTTATCAGAAAACATTTATTGTCAAGGGGCGATTCTTAAGAAAAATAATTCAATAATATTTCTCACCCAGAATTTTGATAACACAGTATTTACACCTGTACAATATATACAGCATTTCTCCTAAGCAGCGCTCAAAGCGAAGAATAAACTAGCCGGGGGTGGGGGGGAGGGGTGTCAGAGCACCGGGGGGTGCTGGGGCGTGTGCAGGTTAAGGGCGTTGGGGTGGGCATGGCCTATCAGGTTGAGGTAATGCCGGTCGAGGCCCTGCACCGGTGTTAGGAAAGGGCTGTGCTGCTGCGCTGGGCTTGGGAGCGGCACCGGTGCGCTGGGCAGGTAAGGCAGCGCCGGGCTGCGAGCAGCGCCATGTGGCCAGGGGAAAGGCCCCGGGGCAGCGCCCTGTGGGAACACAGTGGCCTCTCCCGGGCTGTGGCCTGCTAACTCAGGCCCCGCAGGGTGCAGTTGGTAGGAGAAATCCGGCTCCGGGAGCGAACTCAGCGGCGGGAAGGCCGGCTCCGCGCCCAGGCGGGCCTTGGACTGCAAAAAGGCCAGGATGCGCGCGTACTTGGTGTCTTTGGTCTCCATCCGCTCCACCGTGGTGAGGTAATGCACCAGGTTCTTCATGCACTCATGGTAGCCATAGTGGAAGTAGTTTGCAAACTCCGTTAGAAGTTCTGCTGAAGGGGCAAGAAAAATGGTAGCAAAGCGGGGGGTGGGGGAGAATCCTAACCAGTTCCTTCCCTATCGCGAGTTAAGGAGGGTGCTGGCCATCTCCCACCACATATTCCGATCAAAGTTCTCATTTGAAGCGCGCGCTCTTCTCTTCACAGTTGAGAGACTGGAAACTCGAGATGAAGATCCCTTTTCCCGCAGAGCCTGACCACACCCACCCACCTGAAAAAAGGCGATGGAACCAGCCTCTCTAGAAACCATTCTCCTTCACCGCCTCGCCGTCGCCCAAGCGGGACAGTCGCTTTAGCAAGACCCCCTTTTGTCCCTCTGCTCTGGCTACTTCCCTCTAGTAGATTTGTCTGGGAGGCTCCTTCACTCCCACTCCCAGCCCCCAGGTCTCAGTGTGGCGCAACCTCCCGGCCCAGATTTCCGGTTCCCTAACCCACGCCCACCTTTTTCCCTTCCCCGGGGAAAATCAGCAGAGTGTAGAGCTCTCAGGTATTGAACAGTCATCTCCAGGATCTCCGCCTTCTCCAGCTTCCCGGAACTCTGCAAAAGGAGAGGTTCCTTGAAGCGGCCCAGCGGTCGCAGGCCAACCCTAACCGACTGGGAGGGCACGGTTTTATCTGGAGGGGACTTGAGAGTAGAACGCTAAGGCGGATCTGCGTGAGAGCCGCATAAGGTTCAATCAGTGCTCAGGTCCCAGGTGAGCCAGGCCGGTACTCGAAGCGTCCATACACATCTCCGCGGGGAGTGACAGTGGAGGGTTCTCAACGCCTGGCACCTGGCTCACGCTACAAATATTACCTGCTTTGCCAGGGCCATGGGCACGGTCTTGCCCAGCTCATTCAAGCAACGGTTGATTCGGTCCCTCCTCCGCTTTTCTATCACTTTATGAGAAACAGGGGTTCTCTGTGAACAGAGGTTTTTACATTTAGGATGTTATCCAAGACACCGCTATAGTAGCTGTGTGCTCAGAGGTTCTCCCCAAGAAGGAAATCCTCCTCCGCCAACTCGGACCAAGGGAGCTCTGTCCCCTCCCGCTGGTGCTGGCGCATTCCACTTCCAATCACCCTACCCGCTCAGGTCACTGAGCCGTGCCGAGCGTCAGGGCTTTGGAGAGGTGGCCACCAGCCTCTGGGCTTGACCTTCTCCCCTCTTAAGGTTGAGGACCTCCTTTCTTTATCCCCATCCCCTTCCCAAACCACTTAGGATTCCTCCACACGCAAAATCCCGTGTGGAAAAGTCTCCCATCGGTCTAGCCAGGTGGCTGGTGGGTGAGTCATACGCCTACACCACCAGGGCGCAACGACTCACTCTGCGTTCCTTGAGCTTGTCTGACATCCTGGTCAGTATGCGCCCTCGGGAGAGGCGGTGGCGCTAGGCACCCGTCCTTTTTCCACCTCGTGTGCCTCTTCCAGTGTCCCAGGTAGACTGCAGCCTTCCAACTCTGAGGGGCTGCCTTATAAAGCGGTCATCTAAAACTCCAAGTGCATTCACGAGTTGAATTATTCCATAGGATTAAGGGATCTGCGTTTGGAGGATGTATGCATTCAAGATCAGTTTTAAAGAAGTTAAGAAAAAAAAATTAGCAACCGAGGGGGGTGAGCTGGGGGCAGATCAGCTTTGTTAATCCACGTGGCCCTTCAAAGGACACGTGATCGGCTGAGGAATAACATTTGCATGGCAACAGCCCGGGCGGGAAAAGGAGGCGGTAAACTGGAGCCGGCGGGCGAGCGAGCGCCTGCAGCAGTCTTGGGCGCGGAGCGCAGGGGCGCAGTGGCTGCGGGCACCGGGGGGCGAGGACCCTCACAAAACAGTGTCGCCTCCTTTAGTCCCACCGCTGAGTCTCACACGATCGCCTGTTTACAAATCCCAGCAAGCCCGCCGTCCCAGCGCCGAGTGCGTTTTAAAGCCTGTCCAGAGTCATTAAAGTAATTAAGTAAGCCTTTAATAGGCTGTTCCGCCGGGTTCAAGGGAGAGCTCTTGGAGACGGAGGCGCCCCGTTTGTTCCCAGGCTTTTCTCACACGACTTGGTGACACGTCCATCTCCCCCCTTTTTGTTTACACCGCTTTATTTGTCCGGACATCCCGGCAGGTGTGGGGCTGCGGCTGGCACACGAGGCTCCCGCCTCGCCTCGCCCCTCCCGCGGGTCTTTGGCACGCGACGCTCCCCCCCTACTCCCTGACCACATCGCTTGCTTTCTTTTCTCCCCCCTCCAGCTCTCTCTTCGTGGGGGGAAGAGGCTCAATTTGTAGCCTATTATCCTATACGAAAATGTCCATTGAAAAGTATGAATAGTTTCATTGGGCTAAATTTTAATAATGCCAGGGGGTGAGGGAGGATAGGCAGGCGTGTGTGTGTGTGTGTGTGTGTGTGTGTGTGTGTGTATGTGAGGGGGAGGTGGGAGGATTGGGGGCAACACGGAGAAGAGTGGGCCGAGAAGAAAAGGGGGAATGCAGCTGGCCCAGGCGAGCATTATGCGACGTCACCTGCGTGAGGGGGCGCCTACAGACCCCTATTCATTTGCCTAATTTTGGTCAATTTAACAAACTTCAGGAGAAATTATTGTGGCTTTGTCAGGGAGGGTGAAGCCTTCTGATCGAATTAACAGCATGTTTTGATCCGGTAAATGTCATTAGAAAGGGAGAAACAATCGCGCTTAGAGGGCTCTGAGTAATGCGCCCAAGTGGAGACGCCAAAGCGCACGGCTCACAAAGGGAGCAAGTAGCTGCCACAGGGAACTTTTGTACCCGCCCATCGCCCAAGTTTTGACACAAAAAGGCATTATTTCATACTTGAATACGTTTAATCCAACGATTGTCTATTTTCTGCAAACATATTTTCACAGCATTGTTAACTTTTTATGTCCCCCTTTCGCGGGCGCCTTTTCTTAACGTTTGGGGGCGGGAGAGCGCAGACACTTTGGGCATCAATATTTGTCACTGAAAAGGGCCCCGTGAAGTTAGGGAAGTTGATCTCTTTTTTATGGTTTTAGAAAGCGAAAATATCGGGGGAGGAGGAGGGAGGGAAGACAGGAACAGAAACCAGGGAGGAAATTTGCTGGACGGGCCCAAATGGAAGGAGGGGGGCGGCGGCGCCTGGGAACTCTCTTGGCCGTCTGCGCCTCTGCGGGCAGCCTGGTTGGGCTGCCCAAGACCTCCTCCCCCACCGACCCTCCTAGCTCACGTTAGCTGTCTTGGAACCCTCTGAAGCCTCCGGATTTGTCGGGTGTGGGTGGTGGGAGAGCTTTCTTGCAGATGGAAACAATAAAAACGATTTTTGTTTTACGACCGGCTCTAGAGCCTCCAATTTCTCACTTTTCATAATCTTTTCCATCTGGAAACTGCGGAGACTTCTCTTTAGACACCTTGTCCCTTCTTTTTGTCACCACCCTCGCCTAAACTCTCTCTACCTTGCTAGACAACGGCAGGGGCGGGCTCTTCTTTTGGGTCGTTTTAGTCCCTGATATAGGTGGGCAGGGCGGAATCCTGCTGCCTGGTGGCACATAGAAAGCTCTAGGGCGCAGAGACAGGCCTGGGGTTCAGGGCCTCAGGAATCGAGCCTCCCACCTGCAGAAGCCTGGGAAGTGTGAGGGTCGGTCTGCATCACGCACCCTAGAGTGTCCCACTCTGCCTGGCTTCCAGCTTCTTTTCTATTTCACGCCAGAATGGACACGACCCGCACCCTCCTGCAGGTTGCTTTGCCAGCCGCGGGTGTCCTCTCAGAGGTTATCCATTTCAGCATATTCACTCGCACACAAAGGGATTAAGCACGAACCTTATCCAAATTAACTAACGTGAAAGGGTAAAAGAAGCGCGCACACTTCTCACACCCCGCCGCCCCCCCCCCCCCCCCCCCCCCCGCCCCAGGAGGTGGTCCCCCTGCCGCTGGTGTTTACCACCAGCTGCAGGCACTTTCCACCAGCTAAATTTCTTTCCATGCGAACTGTGTAATTTTCTGGGTTTGATCGCGATGCTGGGCTCAAAGTTTGCCTTGGCTTAGAAGATTCCTGGAGCTGTTGAGTTTGTGGGTAGGATTGAGTGGATACAGATGGGGAGCCCTGGTGCGCATGCTCATCTTGCCCTTCTAGGTTGCAGAACCACCTGAAAGATACTTCTTCCTATTCAGATTAGCCCCACGGATGTATTTCATTTCTCCATTCCTTGCCTGAAGGCCTGAATCACACTGTGTGTGTGTGTTGGGGGAGGTGGGTTCACGTAGTCTTCCCTTCTGGGGATGATGATCAAGTCTACTTGGATTTTGACTTAATTTTCACCCCAAATGAGAGCAGAGTGGTGAAGACCAGGGGTTGCTGGAGCAGAACAGCCAGTTCCATTCCAGCTCCATCACCTACCAACCAAACCAGACTTAAGGCAAGTTAATGAGTCTCGGCTGTGCCTCAATTTCCTACTCTGTAAAATGGGGTTAATAATTGTGCTACTATGATGCAAGGTGGTCACTAGAATAAAGTAAGGAAGTACAGGTCAAGCATCTAAAAGAAGGCTCATCTCTTTGCCAGCTAATCTCTTCTGCAGTCATCTCCCTATGTTTAGTAGTGTATTGTGGTTTTTGTGTTGTTTTATGATATTTTTAGTTAGTTCATATGTTTCTCTTTCCCAAGAAAGCTTTACCACCCTTAAGAAGCCGTGGTGATTCCTCTTGAAATTTAAGTTGACCCAAATTAGGCAAATGAATGGGGGTATTTGAATGCCACTCTCACAGGAGGGGTCACCTAGTGGTCACTTGCTAGCTGTGTCCTCCTAAAGTATATATGAAGCCAGAAAAAGCTCTAAGTGCAGAAGACCCTCAATGTCATAGCCATTCTAAAATGCCTCAAACATTTTCATGGATGTCCAATGCAAGCTAGGAAGGAGAGATGTCGGCCAAAGAATACATATTTACAGCTAAGGAGGAATAAACTCAAAGGATCTATTATTGTACAGCATGAAGACTATAGTTAAAGTTGATATATTCTTGAAAAATGATAGTGGAGTGGATGGTAAGTATTTTCACATCACAAAAATGATAGCCATGTGAAGTAATACATATGTTATTAACTAAATATACCATCTCACAATCTCACAACCTATATACAGTTGCCCTCCATATCTGCTGTTTCTGCATCTGCAAATTCAACCAATTGGATTGAAATTATTAGGGAAAAATTGTGTCTGTACTGAGCATGTCTAGACTTTTTTTTTTCTTGTTATTTTACCCTAAACAACATAGTAAGACAGTCGTTAAATAGCATGTTTATGGCATTATGTATTATAAATAATCTAGTGATGATTTAAATTATACAGGATGATGTATATAGTTAATATGCTATATAAGGGGACTTAAACATCCATGGATTTTGGTATCTGAGGGGTCCTTGAACCAAACCCCTATAGATGGAGGGACAACTGTATGCTTCAACACTGCTTGCTATGATTTGGATTAGTCCCCCACGTGTCCATGTGATTGGAGTTTTGGTCCCCACAGTGGTACTATTGGGAGGTGGAGGAACTCTTGAGAGATGGGGCCAGATGTGAGATCTTTGGGAGTGTGTCCTCAGAAAGGATTAAGGTAGCTCTGGTGGAACCCCTTGGTAGTTCTAAAACCTTGAGCCTGGCCCCACCCAGCCCTTTTTATTCCTGTATGGAGGTGTAATCTCTTCTCCTGTATATGTTCCCATTTTGTCTTTTACTATCATGTGATGCAACAGAGAGATTCTTCATGAGAAATGAGTAGAGATGCAGGTACCATGCTTTGGAACCTCCAAAACTACATAAAATCTTTTTCTTTATAAAATTAACTGCCTCGGGTATTTTGTTATAGCAATGGAAAGCTGACTAATCTATTGTAATGGTAAAGTAAATCTGCTCTACCATGATAAATACATACAATTTTATTTCAATTTAAAAATCAACTTCAAAAAAGAACAGGAAGTGAGCCAACTTAGAAATTAAAAATTAAATATTCTTTGTTTAATCTCCTGACATCTAGAGACCTCTGTTGAAGAATACAGCAAGAATAAGTATAATGTTTTTATTTTTGTGATTTTATGTTTCCATTTACATCTGAAATGTCCCCCAGAGCTCATGTGTCCCCAGTGCAGCAATGTTCAGAGGTGAATGGGAGGTGATGAATCAGGAGGTCTCTGATCTCATGGACAGATTAATTAACTTTTTAATTCATAGGTCAGTGGATTTAGGGGAAGAAGCTTTGTTATAAAACTCTCTCTCTTTTTGCTTCCTGGCCACCATGAGGTGAACAGATTTACTCTATTATGTGCTCCCACCATAATGTTCTGCCATATCACAGGCCTAAAAGCAACGGACCCAGCCAACCATGGACTGAAACCAAGACCTAAAATAAACTTCTTCCACCTTTATTTTTTTCAGGTATTTTGTCACAGGTATGGAAAACTGATGGGCACACTTTA